GTATTTTCCTGCTATATTAAATCACAATAATTAGGTTTATACTGATGACATCTTTTACGGTTGTGCCTCTGTTATAAAACAGAAGCAATAAAGTTACTTACTTACCACACAAATATCTTACACGAGTAAACTCGGTAGGCCTATTACTTCAGATTAGATACAGATTTGAATAAATATAGGCCTTTTTCAAACCATAATTAACATGTAAGCATTAATTTCTACAAAACAATAACAGAATGTTTTTTTCCTTCTGATTTAACTTTCGGTGTTGCTAATTTCTGATACGTTGATATTATTTTCGAGCAGTTTTCCAAACGCGTCATTATGATTTTCAATTTTAAAAAATATCCCACGTCCTTTTTAAACTGCAATACTACAACATAGTCCGATTATAAAATTGATTTCGAAGTTACGTTGTGTTAATCATATTTTATTTATCTGTAAATTTTGTGAAGACCAACTATAATAAACAATCATATATTTTTTGCAAACCGCATATTCATTTAAAGTTCAGAATCTACCATTGCGTTAGGAAACTCCATAACCATACGTCGCTTAGCTATCGCTTGCAGCAACTTTCGCCTCGGACCCATTGGAATGCCTAACTTTGACAAATCATCGTCAATAAGCAGCTTCACTGCATCTAAATCGATGTCTTCTTTGATGAAATTTATCAGATAATCATGCAAACCATTTGCTGCTAAGAAAAGCTCCAATAGTGAGTTGCTAGCATCATCGCCGTCATCATCTAGATCCAGTTGGTCTTCGTCCCAGGGCACTCTGTTGCCTCGTGTTCCAAGTTTGGGATCAATTTCGTTGCCGTCAACTACTGAATTACTTTCAGGTTGCTCAAGTTCATTGGAGCCATTCAATATGTCGTCTGCGATTCCAGCCCCTCTACCGCCAGTTGGAAGTGATGTCATTGCATTTGCCGCTTGTTGGTCAGTAACCATCAGGAATGTGTTAGGTGACCCCGACTCATGAGGTATTATGTGGTCTATATCGATATTGCGTTCTGAGTCTCTTTTGATTCGTGCTGTTGTTCCATAAGATCCCTCAGCTGTAGTAGACTGGTTTGATTTTTTTCTACCACCGCTAAACGAAATCGTTGAAATCTTTGACTTATCTTTCTTAGTCTCTGTTATTGTTTCTTTGTTTTCCTCCTTTATAATTTTCTTCTGCATCTTTTCTTGCCATTTGTAGTATTTCTTGACGCGTTTGTCAGCCTCGTTCATCGCTTCAAGCTTCATTTTTCTAACTAGTTTTGGGTTAGCTGAAGATTTTTTGGATGATACATCGTCCAGAAAGTCGACACAACTTTTGCGGTTGTTTTCAGCGGCAACGTCCATTGGTGTCTGATGATCATTGTTCATCGCCCAAACATTACAATTGAACGACACGAGAAACGTTATGGCGTTGATATGTCCGCATTTAGCAGCCCAGTGTAAACTGGTGTTGCCTAGATTATCACACTTGTCGGGATCCCCTCTGTGGATACAAAGAAACAGATATGAGAATGTATTTAACATATGCAGTAAAATAACCTCGAAGCCAATGAAATAAAAACTAGTTTGTAGGTCGCAGCTTGGAAATCATATACTTGCGCAGGAGCGTAAACACAAATAATTAATAAGAACGTAAGAACTGTAATTAAATGTTTCCATTTGGAACATAGAGCAAAGAAATAGCTTTGTTCTATGGTTAGAGCTAAGTCTCGCGTGGCTTTAGCAATACCCGGTTCATACATTTTAGGCGGCATAAAACAATACATGAAACTGTATTATGATATAATGTTATCTTACCCTCGACTGACAATAACTCTGAGCGTGTCTACATTGCCTTTGACAGCCGCCCATAGAGTAGGGGTCATGCCATCTTCATCAGGCTTATTGCAGTCTTTACGCGTAGCTTCACTTAAGACGTCCAAAGAGCCATTCTTTGCTGCTATATGAAAGCGATCCGACATGCTGTTAGAATGGTGATAACTACTCTGTAGGTTACTTCCAAAGTCCAATCTAGTATTTATAAATTGGCAAAGTTATATAGGCGTACAACCGCTAAATGACTCTAACTCGAATCGAAATCCAATTCTTGATTAATAAACGTTTTCTGACAACACCAACAAGAAGGCGATGAACATATTTTTACTTTAATTCACATTAATGATTAGTATATTCTCCGATTCTATCTTTCTGAAATTTAGTACCACCTATATTGTTATATCACTATTCACAAATGTAGATAATTAGTTAAGGGCAAGGAGTAAACGGTATCCGCCCTGGCTCTTGACTGGTGGCGCAACTCCGACAGGACAGGGTAAAGTTCAATCGTCAATCCGTAATTTATAATCTCAAAATGTCAATACACCATATACATTGAATTTAAAGTGAACAGACATTTCAAGTGGCTGCTGATGGACAGCGTGATATAAATAGAGTATATCGATGACGGGTGCGCATTTTTATCATTTAATTGTAACATTAATTCATTATAAATCATGGATTTTCTTTTAACTTGTTTTACCGACTACATAGACTTATAATCTTTAGCACATAATTATGGGGTTAGCAAACAATGTTATGATCTAACGACCCAATTGAGGACACACTTTGATATCTGAAACGGGAGTTCCCACTTTTTTATTGTTTTCTAATTGGCGTATCATAAACTCATAATATTAAAGAGCTTAACTTGTCGGCCGGCTGGAAATAATAAGTTTGTATTGTAAACCGGACAGCACATGGCGCATAAGTAAGTTAGGTTCTGTGCATTATAGTTTAAAACCAAACTTCTAGACACTACCATTTTGTCTACAGTACGCATATGTACGAAAGCCCATTGGTCCCACTAATTATACTTGTAGTGGGCACCAATGGACTTTCGTAGAGATGTTTTGCACCAATTGATAACTTCTTTCTACTTAATGTCCTCATATAGTCGTTCTGCAGCAATCCCTATGTCATCTGTCAAACTATTCGGCCGACGATGATCTGACGAAATAACTTTCAGATATCCTTCCTCTTCTTCAGTGAACTGTGTTCTTAATTCTTCTATTTCATTTACTTCCTTCTCATCATCCCCACTGGAAGTCCGATAAAAGACTTGATTTGATTGACAGTGTGGGCAAGTTTTATTCGTATTTACTGCCTGCGTAGGAAAGAACCTCTTCTAAAATAAACAAATATGCATAAAATTATAAAAATTGCAAGGAATCGTGAAGAGGTAAATACAGTAAATGTACAGGGTAACAAGCTTTTTAGGACTGAAACATTTTGATTTTTAAATGTGCTATAGCTTCAATTCGATTGAAAGATATATTCATTGATCATAATTGTCGAAAATAACAATAATATAAAATACAGAAGGGCCTATATAACAAAATAGGCGAACGTTTACTATGATCGAGAATCAACATAGAGACCAGTGAGTGGTCGTCTCTGAATACTCTTGAAAAGTATATAAGCTGAGTTCTGTAATAGTATATATATAGTCTGATTTTGTTATGACTTAGTTAAAAGATCATCGTTTAATCATCTCCATAATTATTCGCACCATAATTTAGGATTGGTACCTGAAACGTATATAGCTTTTCCATGCAGCGATGGTGGTAGATGAAGCCTCTTAGTGCTTCTTCAAATTAATAAGGATGCACAGACAGGGGTGGTGCTAGGGGATGGGAAGGGCCCCGTCTTTGAGAGCTGCTCCCTACCCCCTCCCCCACCCCTCCCGGTCGGGGAGAAAAAATTATATGTATTCTCCACATTGTAAGTAGACTAAAAAAATCGATTAAGTAACCCTTTGAAACCCATAAATTCCCCCTGGACAACTTTCAAAACATTTTGAGCGACGCCTGAGCACGCCAACTTTGCTCTCGTTGAAGAGCCGCCCGTGGTGCAAATCCTGGCGCCACTCCTGTGTACAGAAGGCTAACTGGTCAATAGATTGTTGGTGATTCTGTGGGCTTTTATGGCTTCAGGATATATAATATACAATCCTGGCTAGAGTACTTTCCAGATTTTAGGTATGTTTTTTTTATCGTTTGGTAGCTTGAGTAGAGTGTGTGCTTAACAGTTACTTCCTTTCACTTTTCCAGTTAGTAGGGCTGTATGTGTTAATATTTTCTGCAAGCTATATGCATGATTTTGGAAAAATATGGGAAATTGAGGTTGCTGCTTACAAAATACAGCGTCCTGGTTGGCGATTTCTGGACTCGGGTAAGTTCTTATACATTGAGTATGTAAGAATAGGTAGTTTGGTGAAAAACACATTTATTGGGCCCAGTAATTTTTGTTTATTTGTTCTATAAATTGTGTTTTGTACTGGTATCATTAGCTCCTCGAAGACAAGTGCTAACGGAGGGAATCTGTTAATGTTTCCCCTACAAAAACTACAAGAAAATTTTACACAGTACCTAGTCCTACACAAAATCAAACTCAATAGGCCTAGTATTAAAAGGAGTTCTCCCTATCATATACGTACATGCAACAGAAAAGCTTAAAGTTTCAGACTTCACGATCCCTACAATATTCGTCGCCATGCAGTAATAATTCCCAGCATCTTGTAGTTTCACATTGTCAATGTTATATTCCATAACATCTCCGATTTCGTTTTTAATTTGCTTTGTTGTCTTGGTATAATGTATATTTTGGGGACGGGTCAGCGTTTACTTCACACCTAATTGACAGCATATTTTGTGAAGCTGTACTACTAAAACTGATGTTCTCAGCGATATCTGAAACATAGAGGCATTAAAAATAAATATAATAGCCACATTAACCACGTATTGTAATGACGAAATGAAGTGGCAATCACCTTTCACTAGGCATGCTCATTTCAGCCTACCAGGTGCTCATTATGAGGCGTTTGGAGTAAATTAGTTTTTGGTCTTGAAAAAAGTTCCTGGTATCTGAACCAGGGCCCTTGAATTGAGAAGAAACCTTCCCTTAAATACATTTCAATAGTAAAATTGCGAAATACCTAAACACGATGATTAATCATCATCGTCATCATTGTTTTATTATTATTTATTTTTAGGCTTAGGGCTAAGGATATGCCAATATCGAAATTAGTCACTTTACTAAGTGGCAATCTGTTCACAAGACCAACATATAACAAAATGCTTTACACAAACTAAGTCTCATTATGTGGCTTAGGGACAGGAATTGTTTAGGTCGTGAGAAAAAAAACATGTCGCGGTGACAGGAATTGATCCCAGGACCATGTGAAGCATCTTAACCACAAGCTATTTAACTAAGCACCTTAATCACCAAGCTATTCAACTTAACTTAGGTAATTTAGATAATAAAATTCAACTTACATTGAACATTAAGTCTCTTCGTGTCACTATTCTTGCTTCCTGCGTCATTGCTTGCACTACAAAAGTAATTACCTGAGTCCTCAAGTGTTACATTGTTGGTGATGTAGCTTAGAGTGGCGTCAATCCTAGAAACTATCGACTGATGATTTTTGTAAATGATCAATTTTGGATTGGGCTTAGCAGCACCACTGTAGCATACAATTTTCAACATATTACCATCTACC